TTGACTGAAGATATTTAAACGAATATTCCTATATCATGTCGTATTTTTCAAAAGATGGTGTTACCTTTTGATGGCCGTATGTAATAGAATTTTCCTATGATCGGTTAAATTTCTATCTGACCTGTATAAGGTCATCTTGTACTGCAACTTTGGTAACGCGCACTGGGAATTATTCGTTATCTATTGGCAAAGAGGAAACCACAGATTTTACGACACTTTTGGGATTCAAGTTTCGATAGCAAACGTAAGAAGAAAAGTACTCGCTTTAAGTTAGCCTTCAGTCTAGAACATCTCTCGAGATACAAATCTTCACCTTGGGACAATTCTCTTTGAACTGCAGGAGTAGTCGTCATTTAATTTGTTTCTACTGAGTGCAGCTCTTTAAACTATGTACCTTTAAAATTATATGCTTTATCCATTTATCAGAAAATCAATGAGCGCGGCGAAAAAGAAAAGGTTAGAAGCGTTTTCGAAATGTGGTTTTACGAGGGCGGTTCAATAAGTACCCGTGTTTGAAGACGGAGGACGTTCCTGAGGGAAATTGGTGTTGTCATCGTGTGCTGCCATCTATCAAACCACGCCAAAACGAATGTCTGACTGATTGGATTTGGCAGCCATTCCACTGAGACGTGTTTCGTTATTTTTGCTAAGATGGAAAAAGAGCAGTATCGTTCGGTAACTCGCTTTTTGTTTTTGGATGGGAAAAAATGCGAGGAGATGAAAACAAAGTTGGATACTGTTTATGGAGACATTTCGCCATCTACGACCACAGTTAGATATTGCTTCAACGAATTTAAACGTGGGCAAAGATCCGTTTCTGATGGGAGCGACCAGGAAGCCTGGCTAACGTTGTTACCGAGGAAATCATTTTACGAATTTTTTAGGAAAAGGAAGAACGATCACTGGACAATACTACAGTTAGTTTTTGGACCGCTTCGACAAAAAATTGAAGGAGACACGGCCGCATTTGGCGAAAAAGAAGGTGCGTTTTCAACACGATAGCGCACCGGCACATTCGTCAGGAATTGTTGCCGCCAAAATGCATGAATTACGTTATGAATTTGCTGCCGCACACCCCGAACTCACTCGATTTGACTCCCTGTGACTTCATCTTGTTCCCTACCATGAAGAAATGACTAGCCAGAAAGAAATTTAGGAAGTCATCGCCGAGACAGGGGGGATTTTGGAGAGTTCGACAAAACTTATTTTTTGGCGCAGTAAACGCCATTTGTAGCACGATGCTACATTTTGGGATTACGTATAATCCAACAAGGTCCACTTGTGTGGATATCTACTTGCTGAAAACGAATCCCGGCGTAGCCAACCTCAACGTGATTGGCACATTAGCTTAATCGAATAAAATGATTCGAAGTGGTCTGTATTCTGTCGAAACTGCCAGACGCGGATAGCGATTTCGATCTTTTTGGATCTTATCAGCGCGGCGCAGGCAGCTCCGACAGAACACAGACCAACTACCTGCTACCTTAACAGCGCGTTTTAGAAAATACCACAAATGGCGCAGTAAACGCCATCTGTAGCACGATGCTACATTTTAGGAATACATATGCTCCAACAAGGTCCACTTGTGTGGATATCTACTCGCTGAAAACGAATCCTGGCGTAGCCAACCTCAACGTGATAGGCACGTTAGCTTAATCGAATAAAATAATTCGAAATGGTCTGTATTTTGTCGAAACTTCCAGACGCGAATCGCGATTTCGATTTCTCCGGGATTCGTGAATATGAATATTTGGGCTATATACCCCTTCTAGCATCATCATCATCATCATCATTGGGGTCGTCAGTCTTAAGACTGATTGTACACGCACCTCCACTGAATCCTACTCTTAGTTATCTCATTTCACGTCCCTAACTATTTGTGAACAGTAATCTAAGGGGCCATCAATAAAATACGTCACTCAGAATTTCATCTTTTTCGTCCATCTTCGTCACGCTTTTAGCAACCCCCCTTACTAATATTAAGACATTTTTTATTATTAAAAATAGCAATGAGAATGAGAATTATTCATATACTTCGAACGTCGCATGTTCTTAGATCTATTTCCCCTCTTGTCATATCTCGTCACACCCCTCTCTCCCCTTTATTTCCGAACGTAGTTTATGAACGACGCCTAAACTCCCCTTAACTTCAGTTTCTACTTCTAATATGTCTCTGACTAGACCTTCATGCCTGAGAAGATGTCTTTTACCAACCTATCTCGCCTATTTTGTATTAACTTCCATAGAGTATCTTTATCGTTCGCTTGTGATACCACATTTCAGACGCTTCTAACTTTTTATTTTCCGGCGAATCCTCCGTCATGTTTCTAATGTGTTTTTGCATTCAATAGCTCCTTCATGACTCCTTTTCCTGGCTGACTTCTACGGGGATAGTTCATTTATAAAAACATTGGTGACATTTTGGTGATGGTGGATGAATGTGGTTTGTAGATGTGGATGACCTAAGTGTCCATGTCTGTTTCATTCCTATTCACAAATTCTACATTAGTTCCCGAAAGATCGACTGGTCTATTGGAACAGACGACATAGTAAACTGTTGCTACTGAAATGATGGTTGGATAGCACTTCCTTCTCTGCTGATCCAATCGTCGCAATTGTCAAAAAATCAAACAGTCCCCGCATCCTTAACTAACCCCTTATTTCCCTTCGATAACGCTCTCTGTTCTCCTACCTTTTTCTTCTCGTTTCTAAACCTTTTTATTCGCAGTATTTTCATTATCCGAATTTAATACCTCATTTCTCCGCGCACACCATCCACCTTTCTTATACTCTACCTAAATCGATGACGTTTTGGAACCCTTAGGCAACACGAATTCCACATAATTGGTGCAACATCATAATGAGCTCCTTCAGTCACAAACGAAACGTGAAGGAACGCTGAATTTGGTCGTTGAAAATGTCGAAAAGCGCATTTCTTAATGACTCAGTTGTTCACGTCTGCTTCAAGTTTAATAAAATCCACTGCGCCCGTCGCGTCATCCACGGGCGTTTTCCTTTTCGTGATTTTGCGCCGCGATTTCCTCGACGACGACGTCTAACGTTCCTGCTAGCGTGACGAACGGTGCGGCGTCGGGACGTCTCCCGTCATTATCGTCGTTTGCTGGAAACAAAGCGACGTCGCCGTCAAAGTTGGCCGGAGGAACAATACACGCTCCCGTCTTTCAATTCCTTGATGACGGCGTACAGCGTCGCTCCGCGTCGCGACTCCCGCCACCAACCACGTCATTATCATTATGTTGCACAGCCATTTCGTACACGTAATCGTTTTTGCATTACGAGTATTGTCATTGTGACTGGCGACGATGGACTCGTCGGCGTCGACCGGGTCGCTGGCATTCTCCGAAGTCCGAAAAGGAACTTTCAAAGAGTGACGACGACAATTTTGTTCCTTCACTTCCGTTTGTTCTTTCTTTTGAAGTTTATATGTACCAATGCAGGAGGAGTTAATGGACGGAAACGTTTCTCGAAAATTGTAGAGCCGTGTTCCTCGGAGCGATTTCATTTTTCGGTTCGTTAACCGCTAAAGTTTTGAATTAATATTATTTGAAAATAAAGTATACTTATACACATACAGGAAACAGTTTAACCGACCATATAGACGCATTGAGCGTTGGCGGTAATGACGTACGACAGGCCGGGCTTATACTCCCCTACAACGATCGAATCGACCGACACAATGCGAGAGTGAAACTTGGATACGAACTGTACACTTATTGGATGTGTTGCTACTCGGACGCGATATGATCACAAACGACACTCATGAACATACGTCACCGCGAAATCCGAAAATATACGCGGAGGCAGCACCACCTGTTAAATATACTGCACGCCAGCACACTGCTACTAAATCTACTGTACGCCAACACAGCGCTGACAAATGAGAAGGACATAACCTCACTTTGTAGAAAATTACTGACAAATTGAAAACAAACTATGGTATTTTCTATGCTATTTCATTTTTACTATGTGTAGCTTGATATCAGGCTAAAATTTCGTCTATATTCTAGTAACTGGCTGGAGCGACAAATTTTTGGATGTGGTAACAAATGATAGTGCATTTTAGATCGCTTGATATACGTCACATGGTGTTGTATTGTTAAAGAGTTTTACATAACATCGTCGACTATAGATTGGATTAATGTTCGCAAAATAGTTAGGAGTGTAGGGAAATGCAAAGTGTCCAACCGTTCTTTCGACTGAAGACCTTTTGATAATGATGATGATAATGAAAATGTTTCACAATAATATTTTCTATTTAGATATATGAAAAGATTAACTCAAGATCGAAAAGAGTGGAGGTGGCTGTCCAACTAGTCTTAGGACTGATGACCTTATGATGATGAGATATAGCAGTTGAAGTAGACATTACCCGTCCCTGTAGTGTACTTATTTTCATTGATTTTCATCGATACATAATAGTGATTTACTTCTATTTTCTTCGCTATTTCGCGATACCTATTCAGTCGTATCGAACAACTCTCGAATACGTATCTTGTTAAAATTAATTGCTTTCGTACAATGTAAATAAAAACGTATTGAGAATTGTGGAAGAATATTTTGAGTTATAATTTCACAGTGGAGTACTAGATTCATTACTCTAGGAACAAGAGTATGCCTTGTCGCAAATTACGCTGGCAAGAAGTTCACCAGCAACCAGGTTTGCCCCAAAACTGATTAGTACGACTTTTTTTTATCACCAAGGGCTCTGGCGAGTTGGTCAAGTAAACGTGACGCAACTTCCGCCTGATGTTAAAATTTTACTTTCTATAAAGCACGCATTTCAAATTGCTTCACGTTTTCTTCATCGTAATTAGTCCCTGATCAACAGTGAATAGTTAAAATCCATAATGAAATTAAAAAATTAATAAATCGTTGACGTTCCTTCGAGGATTGAACGGCATCACTTTCTTGAAAAGTATTTGAGATATGCCGTAATTCCTGAGTATATTTTATTTAATATTTCTTTTACTTTGTTACAGAAGTGGCAATGTTGCTTCCTGGATCCCTGTCAGAAATACGAAGAATTAACGATACTAGTGATATAAGAAAGAACTTACGCCTAAATCATCCAGAAGAAGACCCTAAACATGACCCACAAAGGAAGTGAGTACTTAACATATTATTGATTGCATTACTAATTTAACATAAACACTAAACACCAACGACTCCACGATGGTTAGTGCCAAATAACTACAGATGGTAGCGAAAGATAAGTTCTGTCTACTGGGATCCGTCAAATGGGAGGAGCCTAAAAACATGGCGCCGATTAGGGAAAATTTATCGTAGTTCCTATAGTGTACCGTGCAATTTCCAAGTTTTTAAATTACGATAAAATGATAAGTATTGACACAATATGTGATTGGGCTGACACAAAGCCTCGGAAAGGAAATTTCGTTGAAGGTGAGCGTGTTTTTAATGCCAATCACATTATAAAATTCGGAAATAACAAATCCGGAAGCTAGCCTTCAAATTCCGTCAAGTTTACTGCCTACTTTTTACAAACTTCGGATTTAAAAAGTGATTCACGTTATATAATTGGTGAGGTGATTCTGGGTGATTTAAGCAATATCATATCAATGACTTGCACGTGCAAAGCCGATTTAAGAGAACGTTGCAAACACATTATTGCAACTTTGTTGTATTGCAGCAGGTAGGTTCTTAACCTCAAAATACTTATATCGTATCATTAGAATTGTGTTAAATCAATTACACAGGAATAAATAATTTCTCACTTTATAATTTTAGTATGATTCTAGTTTTAAATATTAAGGTTATGGCTGATGGTAAATACTTGCTGAAATATAATCATGTGCATTAAAATGACGTGAACAAATTTTTATTCCGGAATTCACTTCTTTGATACCTACTGCTTTCATCCAAGCTTCTATTAGTTTACTTTTTTCTCTAATTTTCCGAATATATTTTTTACATATATAAAACGGTTAGTTTTTATTGGAAAGTAGTTAATGTAGGTGAAGAGTGAAGATCTATGTCTGAAGTGCTATTGCAGCTTTTCACTGAACATATTAACTTTTTATTTGATTTAACTTTAGAAGAAAACTTCGTCGACTCCATCATCAAAAAAATTTTTACTTTTTTAACGTGTTTTATTATTTTAATAAACAATTTTACAATTTGCGTGCACAGTTCCTATGTAAATTTTTCCCTCATTGGAGTTATAAATTTTGCCACCAGATGGTGTATGCCCATTTGACGGATCCCAATAATTTGCTCAAGCATAATTTAAGTATTTTTGTATTAGGTAATATGTTTTTTGATAAATATTTTCATACAGAAGCGAATTTATATGTTTATTTTGGAACATAACTTCTTATATAATATAGAATGGCTAGTCAACGATTTAACTACAGTTAATTAATAACCTAATAGTACAATAATAATCGTAACCTCCTTTATTAGATAATTGGGAAAGTAGAAATGTCAAGGAACTATCACAGGGTGAGTGAAGATGGTAAGCCGTTTCACCACCTTGCATGTTTATGATCTTGAATTCGACTCTAGTCTCTCGACTTCTTGATTATAATTTTTGATTCCCCTATTTAAAGGGTTGCTAACTGACCTACTAATATAGTAGGTATGCAGATGTTAGCTTGCAGTGTCAAATAAACAATTTAGATGTACCAACGTTGTACCAGTGACCTAAATAAGAATTTGCATTATAACTATTCTACAAACTAGTTGAAAGGTGTATACTTATCAAACGAATGAGGAAATTTGGGAAAACATCCCTTACGTGTATTTTTTTATTAAAATTGACCACGAAAAACGGAGCATGGGTCAGTTGAGAACAGAATGCGGGTACGCTAAAAATACCTTCCAGTTCGGCACATTGCAAAATTAAAAGGTAGTACCATTTTATAGAGGAAGGTCAGTAGATAGGCTATGACAGTGCGGCCTCAAAATCCCATGTATTTTCTTATGAAGGTTCATTTTCGTCCTTTTTCGACCGTTTTACCCCTTCCGTCAACCATCTTTGACAGCTGGCATTGTCAGCCATCTTTGACAGCTGTCATCGCCGGCCATCTCTGACAGCTGTCATCGTGAACCATCGCCTCTTTGTATATTCATTACTTATAATATTATTAACTATTATTATTATTGTTATTTCTGTCACCAAAACCTAAGACTAGTACGCTAGGGGTAGAGAGATGATCCTAAAGAGAGGATGACCAAATTAATTACCAGTGTTGTAAACATAAGCGTTCGAATGCTCTAAAGTTCCATGCAATTTTGGATGCTTGTTTACGATCGCCCCGTAGATTGATGCGGTAAATAAAATAGTTCGTAACAAAGTAAAGCAGAGTATCACAAAGATAAAGTCCAATCTCGCTAATGTAAACAAAACGAGGGCTAGCAGGGAATGAAACCTGGATAAAATCAGATGGTGCAAGTAGAACCAACATAAAAAGTGCACTTCGCATGATGTATGAGAGTTTGGAGTGAATGAGAATTGCGCAGGAAGAAGAATAACGTTTTAATAGTACGAACTTTTATGTCGTCTTGGTACACTTTAAACGTGCTGCCAGACTAAACCAAAAACATTGAGACGTCTTTATTTGTTCGTGTTATCATAATAAAATTTAGCAGAACGCTACGTGCTGTTCAAGTCACACTTTTTATTTGCTAGGTTTTTGGCGTTACAGTTTTCATAAAATCTCATTACATAAATTGTATAAAAAGGAAAAACGGAAGAAGATTCATCTACAATAATTTAAATTCAATAACGTATAAACAGAACGGTTAATTTAGAAATTCGAAAATGATTGTTAAAGGTGCATGTTTGGAGCACGAGTCGGAGCGTGGAATGTTAGGTCAATGAGGCAGGTAGGGAAATTAGAAAATTTAAAAATAGAGATGGATAGATTACAATTAGATTTAGTAGGTATAAGAAGTGACTGATTTTAGATACCTAGGAAGTCAGATAAGTGAGGATGGAAGGAGTAGTAGGGATATAAAGCAGAGGATAGCGCAGGGTCGTGTCGCCTTTAATAAAAAGAAGTCACTTCTTTGCTCGCCAACGATTCATTTAGAAATTCGAAAAAGATTATCAAAGGTGTATGTTTGGAGCGCGGCACTGTACGGAAGCGAAACATGGATGGTGGACGCGGCGGAAAAGAAAAGGTTAGAAGCGTTCGAAATGTGATGTTACAGGCGAATGATGAGGATACCGTTGATAGAGAAGGTTAGAAATGAAGAGATATTAGAAAGAATAGGAGAACAGAGGACTCTATGGAAGTCAATAAGAAATAGGCGAGATAGGTTAGTAAGACACCTTCTCAGGCATGAAGGTCTAGTCAGAGACATATTAGAGGCAGAAACGGGAAATTAGGAGGGGTAGAGGTAGACCTAGATTAGATTACTCTTCGCAAATAGTTAAGGATGTGGGATGTTCTAGTTTTAGGGAAATGCGAAGTTTAGCTCAGGATAGGAAAGAGTGGAGGTACGTGTCCAACCAGTCTTAGGACTGATGACCTTATGATGATGATGATGATGTTTGGAGCGCGGCGCTGTACGGGTGCGAAACATGGACAGTAAAAAGAAAAGGTTAAAAGCGTTCCAGGATACCGTGGATAGAGAAGGTTTGAAATGAAGAGATATTAGAAAGAATAGGACAACAGAGGAATCTATGGAAGTCAATAAGAAATAGGCGAGATATGTTAGTAAGACACCTTCTCAGGCATGAAGGTCTAGTCAGAGACATATTAGTGGTAGAAACGGAAGTTAGGAGGGGTAGAGGTAGACCTAGATTAAATTATTATTCGCAAATAGTTAAGGATATGGGTTGTTTTTTAGCTCAGGATAAAAACGAGGGGAGGTGCGGGTCCAACCAGTTTTAGGACTGACGACCTTACGATGATCATGATACGTATAAAAACTGACTTTTGTGAGTACCTGTTTGAAAAAATTAAATCTACAGTTAATGATGAGAATCATCCCGTAATTTTCCACACTTAAAGGCGAAATATTTTCTACAAATTTACACGAGAATACGTTTGAGATGTTACCTATCTAATAAAAAAAATTCATTAAAACCGGTTCACAATCGGCGAAGAAATCGCGTTACATACATAAAAGAAAATCGAGAAACTCCTTTCTTTGGAATACGGATGAAAGGTGTACATTGTCACATGCATATTTATTTACTTGAGATTATTCTACTCCTAATATCTTAAAGTTAAATCGTATGATTATAAGATGCTTCACCCTGATAGAATTCGTTTTTCCCCACCTTGAAGCATCTTCCATGCTTGTGGATCCTAGCGTTCGTTTGACAAACGTAGTCTTCCTTGTAGAGTTTTCTTTTCTATCATATAAATTTTAGATTTTAATCCTTTGTTCTATGAGTGACATATGTTCTTCAATTTATAATTAAAATCATAGTCCTTGGGCCATAAGCGATAATACATTGTGGTCAAAACCATGACGCGTAACAGCTACTGAAGAATAAAGTTAGAAGGATAAAATTAACAATTTATTCTAATTGAATCTGAAAAATAAGAATAAATGAATCATTATTGATCAAATCCACCATCGTCTTCTTGTCACCATTGTCACGAGCTCTGATTTGTCTACCACCATTACGCAGAGGTAATTTCTCAAAGACTCTAATAAATGTTCCTTGTCTGCTATAACTGGTGTGAATCTGACGATCTTCGTGGTGTTTTCTTAGGATTCTTCCCAGCTGCATGATCTAGAGGTTGCGACCATTGTTTAACATTCGGCAGGATAACGGCTCGATTTCGGGTCCGACTGGCCTAGGCCAAGGTTTTAATGGTTTCCTTGAATCACTTAAGCAAATGCCAGGGTCACAAATAATTTTTCACTCACTTCTGTTTCATTTCATTCGTCTCTTCTTTAACTCCCTAACCACCACTAACCTATTTCCATGGTTCCTAAAAGGAGGCTGAAGAAGGACTTCCACCCTACCTTTCGGCAAATCTGGAGTGTCTTCCCGCCCACAAGTATTAGTGGCTGGTAGAAATAAAGAACCCAAAAGTTTTTTCTTTTTTTTTTTTAGGTCTGTTCATCTTAGTCAGACTTTAAAAATGTAGTAGCCGAAAGTTGAGTAAAGTTCAGGGTGC